CTTGTTTACCTTCAAGCTTTTAAGACCCCAGACGCTGTATCTTTTGATAGCCGGGCACCATCAGCTTTCTTCACCACATTTGCTTATTCACCCGCTTTGTCTTCAGCGGTTGTGTTGGGAAGCTACCTCTGGTTTATAGGCAAATGATTTTGCTTAGCTTGGCTTGCTTACCCTGAAGAGGGGCTGATAATTTTAGTACTGTGAGGGGTTATTTCAAAGATTTATTGTGGGTTGGCTTATTTTCTGTACATTTCTTACTCAGTAATGCAATGACAAGGTAACTGAGGTTACTGAACTGAAAATCATGACTTGTGACAGAGTTCAGATGCATATTGAGTTCTTATGATTCTAGGCTGTTGATTTTTTATTAAATTATGCTTTTCTAGTACCAGCAAGTTGATTCCAACTCATAGTTATTTGTAGAACAGATTGGAATTGCTCCATGTGGTTTCCGTAAAGAGTGCAAATCATTGCAGAAGTAAACTGCCATGTAGGGAGTCACTAGTGGGCTCAAGCCACCAACCTTTTGGTTGGCAGCCAAGCACTGTACCACCAGTGTAGTTATGCTTCGCTTTTGTATTTTTAAGAAAAATTATGTATTCTTCCTCTCTCTGTTGTAGAGCTTCTGAAGACCTTAAGACTCACATGGCTGTGGCAAATACAGTGGAGGACTTTCAGAAGGCACTGGATTCTGGAAAGGTAAACGACTCCAAAACCGTTTTGAATATTAAAAACATTTTGTTAAATTTTAAGACCCATTGATTGAATTTAGGTCTACTAATCATACAGAGATTATATATTGTTCCTGGTATATAGAAGTTTGTGGAGAAAATTCCATTATATTTTCATTACATTTTTCCACAAAATACCTTATATACTCTTAATTTTCCATTGGCTTTCCAAAGCATTATAACTAGGGCTTCCAACAAATTTATTTTAGTTTGGCCCCTGTTGAGAATTTGCATTCCTACCCCAGATAAGATCCTCAAGTGTTCTTCATGATCCCCATATGAGTCTTAGTTATACACACTGTATAGACTCTGGTTCAGTACATCTGGGGTGGAAATGCAAATTTTCAGCAGAGGAGTAAATCATTATGAACTTATTTGAAGCCTTGATTGGAACATTCATCATTTTTCTTTTTTTCTCCTTTAATTCCACACTTTTTGGGGTGGGGGGAGGAAAAACCTTTTTCATTTGACATTCTTTTAAAAAAAAAAAATTTATTGGGGGCTCATACAGCTCTTATCACAATCCATCCATCCATCTATTCATCCATTGTGTCAAGCACATTTGTACAATTGTTGCCACCGTCATTCTCAAAACATTTGCTTTCTGCTTTAGCCCTTGGTATCAGCTCCTCATTTTTCCCCCCTCCCTCTCCGCTCCCCCCTCCCTCATGAATCCTTGATAATTTATAAATTATTGTTATTTTGTCATATCTTACCCACTCCCTTCACCCACTTTTCTGTTGTCCGTCCCCCAGCGAGGAGGTTTTATGTAGATTCTTATAATTAGTTCCCCCTTTCCACCCCGCCTTCCCTCCACCCTCCCGGTATCGCCACTCTCAGCACTGGTCCTGAAGGGATCATCTATCCTGGATTCCCATTATATAATTTTTTAATTAAACTGTAAACTAATTATGTCAATGCTTTTTCCTATATTTGACATGCCGATAGAACATTTTTTCTGTATTACCACTAAAGTCTTCACTATTGAAATTTAAATTTTTCATCTGGATTTAAGTTCCCAGTGTAAACGTTCTACCACAGGAAGTGTAATGTACAGATTCTTAAAACCAGGTGGAAAGCCATTTTTTTCTCGATTCCCTAACCATACCTCCTACTCCAGATTTTAATGGAGTTTCTAAATAATGGGGAGAACAGAATGAATGCAAATGTCTAAAACTGTTTGTCAAAATGAGTGAGCACTTTTTCCTTCTTAAAATTACCTAGACTTACTTACTTTCTGTCTGTCTTTAAGAGCATTTGTTGAGGGCTCTTACAGCTCTTATAACCATCCATACCTAGACTTTTTAAATAAGTTACTGACTTTCTTAAGTTTCCCAGGTTTTATGTATTATATGTGTGCAGCTGCTTATAGAAACAGCAGTTAGGCCTTTTGGCTCTCTGCACGGCGCCATGGCGGTTGGCAAAAACAAGCGCCTTACAAAAGGTGGCAAAAAAGGAGCTAAGAAGAAAGTGGTGGATCCATTTTCTAAGAAAGACTGGTATGATGTGAAAGCACCAGCCATGTTCAATATAAGAAATATTGGGAAAACACTAGTCACCAGGACTCAAGGAACCAAAATTGCATCTGATGGCCTCAAGGGTCGAGTTTTTGAAGTGAGCCTTGCTGATCTGCAAAACGAGGTTGCCTTTAGAAAATTTAAGTTAATTACTGAGGATGTTCAGGGCAAAAACTGCCTGACCAGCTTCCATGGCATGGACCTTAAGCGGGACAAGATGTGCTCCATGGTCAAGAAATGGCAGACCATGATTGAAGCTCATGTTGATGTCAAGACTACCGATGGGTATCTGCTTCGTCTTTTCTGTGTTGGTTTCACTAAAAAACGCAATAATCCGATTCGGAAGACCTCTTATGCTCAGCACCAGCAGGTCCGCCAAATCCGAAAGAAAATGATGGAGATCATGACCCGAGAGGTGCAGACAAATGACTTGAAAGAAGTGGTCAGTAAATGGATTCCAGACAGCATTGGGAAAGACATAGAAAAGGCTGCCAGTCTATTTCTCCTCTCCATGATGTGTGTGTCAGAAAAGTAAAGATGCTGAAAAAGCCCAAGTTTGAGTTGGGAAAACTCATGGAGCTTCATGGTGAAGGTGGCAGTTCTGGAAAAACTACAGGTGATGAGACAGGTGCAAAAGTGGAACGAGCTGATGGCTATGAGCCACCAGTTCAAGAATCTGTTTAAAATTCAGACTTAATGTTGACAAATAAAAGATCTTATTGTGGAAAAAAAAAGAAAAAATAAACAGCAGTTAGAGATCAAACAAAGAATTGCATTGAATAAATCTTTGGAGAAAACCTCTTAAGTGTTGAAAAGCAAAGAGGTTAATTTAAGGATTAAAGCTTGCCTGACCCAAGCCATGGTATTTTCTTTTGCCTCATATGCACGTGAAAGTTTGATTGTTATTGAATGAGAAAGATGGAAGAAAATTGATGCATTTGAACTATGGTGCTGGTGAAGAATGGTGAAAGTACCATAAACTGCCAAAAAATAAACAAATCTGTCTTAGAAGAAGTACAGTCAGAGTGCTCCTTAGAAGCAAGGATTTTTTTCTTAGGTACTTTGGACATGTCAGGAGAGACAGGTTCCTGGAAATCATTTATGCTTGGTAGTGTCGAGAGGCTGCAACAATGGACTTAAACATAAGAACAGTTGTGGGGTGGCACCCGATTAGGCAGTGCTTGCTCTGTTGTACATGGAATCACGGTGAGCTGGAACCACCTCACTGGCACCCAACAACACACTATGTTTGCAGTTATTCTTGGCCTAAAATTTTCTTGCTATAAAGATCTATTCTGATCTGAAAAATTATCCGTTACTGGTATGGATCCTGTATGAATAAATATTCTAATATACATGCTTGTATAGACAACTATGTGTCCTGTGTCCTCAGGTTACAAATGAGAAATAAACATGGCCCAAAATCTAAAGGAACTACTTCAAACTATGTAGGTAGAGCTAGTGCTAGAAGTTAGATCCCTTTTCTTACTTGTTTAATGCACTTTCCTCTTTATCATTGTTTATGATCTTAACCTCTTAATGTGCTCTTAATTGCTGATCTCTGGCTTTCAACGTGCTAATCTGTAAAATGAGTGCGAACAGTCTGAAAATCCTCTTCCGATCCGTATTCAACAGTATTTAACTCCTGTCATCCTGTTTTGGTTCCTTTGTAATCGTCCCCCCTTTTTGGGTTCCATAATCTGTTACTTGACTCAAATTCCCTACTCCTAATACAAGGCTAAACGCTGCACAGTCATCTGACAGAGGGCATGTTCCCCGCACTGCTTCAGTTATAGGAGAAAGCTAGGGCTTTCTATTCCCATGAAGAGTTACAGTCTCAAACACACTCACAGGGATCGTTCTGCCCTGTAGGGTTCCTATGAGCCAGAATCGACTTAATAGCAGTGAATGATAATTCATTTATGATTATTTTTTCTATTAAAGACTAAATCTTTCCACTTCCTTTATTATAGAAATATGGTCTTTTACAGTACATAAGCGTTAATTAGTAGCATAACTAACATATCACTTAATCTATTGCTTTCAAAGAAATGAATCCTAGCAGGTATTAGTGGACTCATCTTTTATTCTGCTAGTAGATAAAGCCACTGTAGAGACGTCAACATTTTTTCTAAAGTACAGCAATAGGTATTTAGTTTACATCTGAAGAGCAGATGAGGATCAGAAAACAAATTGTGTTTCTTATATACAGTAATACATCCACCCCCCACCTCACTTCATGTTGATCAGCATGGATGTGCTAACTGAAGATCAAAGTACTGGAAATAAAATTGTATTTACTAAAAAGAGAGATGGAAGAAGGGAGCTTTGGAACATGAATATTCCTTATTGATAAGATAAATGGTAACTTGTTTTAATACTTCATTTATAGGACTTGGTTTTAGTAAAGTTATGTCAGGATCAGGATTTTAAATAAAGGAAAAGTAAGTATTAAAGGGTCAAGGTGGTGGCTGAGTCAAAGCAAAGACCCAGAAAGCCAAGTGAAATAGCTGCAGATGATAATCCTCGACCCCTGCACATCAAAAGGACAGGTAAAGAATGAAATGCCAATAAAATATTTTTAAATGATTTTAAAAATAATTAAATGCCAACTAGTAGTTAAGAGAGCAAATGACACAATGCGTTGGATAAATCTGCTGCACAAGACTTCTTTGAAGTGTGGAAAGCAAAGGATGTTACCTAGAGGACTGAAGTTTGCCTAGCCCAAGCCATGGTATTTTCAGTGGCCTCATTTGCATGTGAAGGTTGGACATTGAATAAGGAAGACTGAAGAACATGCATTTGATTAAAGTGCTGGTGAAGAATATTTGAAGTACCATGGACTGCCAAAAGAACAAACAAATCTGTCTTGGGAAAAGTGTAGCCAGAATGTCCTTTTAGAGTCAAAGATGGTGAGACTTGGTCTCATGTACTTCGGACATGTGATCAGGAGAGACCAGTCAGTTCCTAGGAAAGGACACCGTGCTTGGTAAAATAGAGGGGCAGTGAAAAAGGGGAAGAACCACAACAAGATGGACCGTCACAGTGGCTGCAACAATGGGCTCAAACATTACAATTATGAGGATGGTGCCTGGCAGGGTGGTGGTTTGTTCTGCTGTACATTAGGGTCACTTGATGGCATTTAACTACAATGGGAAATTGAACAAAGTGAATGAGGAGTAAAAAGGTGCTAAGGAACTTGAGACACTGTGAGGCAAAGACAGTAGGGACCCCAGGTGAGCATAGAAACGCAAATTCACACTGTTCCCAATAAGATACAGAGAAGCTAAATAGAAACACCTGGAAGGAAGCAAAGTGAGAGGAATGCAATCTGGATTGATGACTAAAAAGCACAGGAAAAATGGTGAAAGTTTGAGGGATCTTTGTGTCCCGAGACAGATGGTCCCTGACTATTGAGGGGTTAGCACATGAAGCGATAGTTTGTGTACTGAACTGGACTACAGTCAAACCCCCAAACTCACACTTGAGCAGGACCAGCTCTCAACTGCTGACTGTTGCCAATAGGAAATGCCCAGACAGCTTTGTCCCACGTGATCTGAGGAGTGCACTCCTCCTTCCCTCACTTCCAATAGATTAGAGGCATGAACCCCACATCCCTGCACTCTTTATTTGCCAGGGACCACACTCGGACCTCTTCCTTCTTTCTTCTAATCAGCCCCATCTTGCCCATCTACTGAGAGGCAACGGCTGCTGTACCCCTATCTTCCCTGTAGACTCTGTCCCCTGACCTCCCAAATCTAGTCTCTGCATAGCACTGGCACCCTGCCTGCTTTACTCCGTGACCAATCCCCTCAGCTTTGTGGGACCACTTTGGCAACTCACCTCATTAATCTACCTCTCCAAGTGAGGCAGGAGCACTCCAGTGACTCTGAGCCCCCAGCCAACAGGTCCCACAGACTCCTCTCCTCTCCCCTAGTGGTGTGAGAATGCTCACTCACATTCTCTATTACCTGCTCACCCAACACACCAACTGCACCTATTGCCCTGCTCACGCAAGGGCTACTGCTGTCTCCCGTGTCACTGGACCAACAGCAGGTGGCAGTCAACATCCACTAAGCTACTGTGAACAACCAGGAAACAGAGACTTTGGCACTGCCCACTCATGGAGACGGGTGGCAAGAGTTAACATGCCCTGCCTACCTAGATATATGGAAATACAACTATGATGAAGCAAATAAACATATAATCAATCAAAAATACAATAAAGCCTTAATGTGCAGCCAGCAGCCTCCGATTAAAACACAAAACATCACCCAAATGCTAATCTAGATAAAGAACTCTCAAAAGTAAAGTAGTGCTACAGAAAAGAAAAAGACAATGAAAACAAGGAAACAGATGTCAGTCTGCTGTTGACAAAAACATTAAAACAAAAAGGGAGAATAAATGGGGTAGTCAAAGAACACTGGTTTTCAACCTGTGGGTCACGACCCCATTGGGGGTCAAACAACCCTTTCACAAGGGCCGTCCAATTCGTAACAGTTGCAAAAATTACAGTTATGAAGTAGCAACGAAAATATTATGATTGGGGGCGGTCAACACAAGGTGAGGAACTCTTAAAGGGTCGCGGCATTAGGAAGGTTGAGAACCACTGTTATAGAAGCTCCATGTTTAAAAAAAACAAAAACCAGTTTTATACTTTGGGGAAAGTAAAGACAAATCTTAGAGTAATCACAATGAAAATTAGCCTATTTGCCAAAATTATGTTGAAAAACCAAAGAACTTAATAAACATAACAAAAACAAAGGAAATAAAAGAACAATCCATAAACAAAAAGACCTCAGTACAAAACCTAGAAGAAAAAAAACTTGAAGCCCCAGCCCCAGATGTCCACAGTAAATGCTTAAGTATTGGTAAGCACACTAAATGTAAATAAATGCACCAATCTATATTGGCAGAATCTGCATAAATAGGAAAAGAAGGAGTAACTCCAAACATGTTCTATGAAGCCAGCATAGTACTGAAACCAAAGCCATACAAAAACCTGATTAAAAAAATTATAAGTTAGTATTCTTGATGAATACAGATGCAGAAATTACCAGCAAAATCCTAGCCAATGGAATTAAAAAACGTTCAGAAAAAGAATGCGTAATGGCAAGTAGGATTTGCCTCAGATATGCTAGGGTGATCAACATTAGAAAATTAATATAATCCATTACATAAATAAATGAATGAAAATAAGCCACATTTTTTTCTCAATCAATGCAAAAAAAGGCAATTAATAAAATCGAACAACCATTCCTGATAAAACTCACAGCAAAATAGAAATAGGGAATTTCTCAGCATAATTAAATGCATATATGCAAAAATCATTATTTTTAGCAGAGACTGAAACATTCCCCTTGTGAGTCTCAACCAAACAAGGATGCCCTTTATCCCCATTCCATTCAATATTTTCTTAGATGTCTTAGCCAGAGTTGTAACAAGAATGGGAAAAGAAAGGCATCCAAATTGGTAAGTAAGGAATAAAACTTTCCTTATTTGCAAATGACATTATCCTATACATAGAAAATCCCAGAAACTCTCCACGTAAACTATTGCAAATAATAGAAGGATTTGTTAAAGTGGCAGGTACAAGGTCAACATACAAAAATCAGATGGATTGTTTGTTCTACAATAATAAAATGAACTCTTAAAATGAATTCAAGTAAGCTGCCATTTTCAATAGCCAAATGATAAAATACTTAAAAAGAAAACTGCAAAACAGTACTTGAAGAATCCAAATGAGATCAACAAAAATGGAAAGACTTACCGTACTCGTGGACAGAAAGGCTTAACATTTTGAAGTGTCATTAACACCCAAGATCATCTGTAGATAACAGTGCAACCCTGAATCAAATGACAACAAAATGTTTAATGCAATGGAAAAACTCATCACCAACTTTTATATAGAAAGGAAAGAGACCCTGATAAGTCAAGCTTTACTGAAGAAAAAGAATAAAATTGGAGGCCTTACACTCCCTGAGTAGCACAGTAGTCAGAACAGTGTGGCTCTGGTACAAAGACAGACACGTGGAGCAGTGGGAATGAAGCAGAATTGAGAAACTAGAAATAAACCAATCTACCTGTGAGCAGTTGTTTTCCACAAAAGGTTGAAATTTACCAAATGGACAAAATAGAGTCTCTTGAACAAAAATAATGGAAAAACTGGATCTCTGCAAAAAAAATAGAACAACCCATATCTCACAACCATACACAAAAACTAACTTAACTAGATCTGAGACCTTAATCTGAAACCTAAAAATTTTAAAAGGCCAAAGAAGAGGAAATAAGGCTCTATAGGAGCGTAATTTAAGGCACACAGTTAGCTATGAAATGCAAATTAAAATTCACAACCATCAGAAGATAACCTAGATGACTGAGATCTCCTAAAAATCAATTCTCTTGATTATCAAAAAGCTTCTCCAAAAGAATAAAGAGAACCCTCAGCCCAGGAAACATTTGGGGAAGTACATCTAACAGGTCTGTTTTAATTTTGCACAAATTAAATGTCTGTTAAAAATTTCAAGAAAAGCTCATTCTTGCCACATTTCCCTTACTCACCCACTCCTACCGCCACCCAGGATTTCCCTAGAAAAGCATCAGCTCTTTATTGTCCTAAGACAGATGATTAAAATAGTAGCCTGTCAGTGGGAGGAGTAGACAAAAGACAAACAACCTGTCTCAGCCCCAGTTGTGTTCACTGGACAAATTACTTGGTTTTCTATAATTTCCTAATAAAAGAAGTCCTCTGAAAGCCTTTAAACAATCCCAATGCAAAAATAAGCTTGTAGGAAGGACTCTCCCTCTGAAGATGGAATGTGTGGCTGGGAATTGTTGGTCAGAACTTAATGTGGAAACTAGGTATTATTTTTAGCTGCTTATGTGCTGGGTCTTCCTGATGGGCCATTGTCCATATTAACCTTTCTATCGAGGAAATTTTTTTACTGTTATATGATTGTTATGCCAACCAAACTTCATTTTGAAATGGATACACTATGAAAATGTTAGTTTTCAGAACTGGAAGGCATCGTAGCACTTAAATCTAGGACAGCATTATACGAAAACTGAGGACTAGAAATGTTCAATCAGGCTGTTAATTTCAAAATTTGTTAAAACCCCAGGTTTCTTATGATTATGGGTGGCCTCACAAAAGAAATAGCTAAGTAGTTGTTTTTCCCCAGCACAGAAGGATTTCTGACCTTCAAAGAACCTGTGACTTAAAAAAAATGAATCCCCTATACTTAACCTGGCAGGGGAGATACCATGATCACGAAGGTGGTTTTCCCAGGGCGAGGCTTATCCATTGCACTCTGGATGTGCTGACCCCTGCGATTTCCCCAAATGTGGGAAACTCGACTGCATTAAAAAAAAAAAAGAATCCCCTAACATGTTAGAGACACTTACAAATAGCATAAAGTGAAGTTATCTGAGTTTTTAATAACATTAAGGAGAAAATCCATAAACAATGTTTAATCTTTTTATCTCCTCACTTTGATGGGGAGAGCCAGTGGTCCTGAGTGCAAAGGAGAGTATTTACAGCAGAATCTTGACTCAGGCGTGCTCACCATTGCTTATTGTCTCTAGCAATGGAGTCTAGTCTACCTGTTTTACCTTCTTAGCAAAATCCCTAGCAGATTTGCAAAGATAGAACCTGGAAAAATTGGAGCTTGTAAATTTAATACAGAGCTCAAACGTTACCTTTAATAGAATAAAAAGACTTATAAAGACTGAATGTTTGCTTTCCTATTAGATTGTTCAGATTCCGTTCTGTGGAGAAATTGACTGTGAGGATTGGATTAAAAAAACCACGGCCAGGTAAATATACTTAATAGATAAAATGTTTCGTGGTGTTGCACTGGAAAAGAATAGCATAAATGAATGCACTTCTTATTTATTTCAGGGATCAAGATCTAGAACCTGGTGCACCCTCCATGGGAGCTAAAAGCCTTTGCATCCCCTTCAAACCACTCTGTGAGCTGCAGCTTGGAGCCAAATGCATCTGTGGCAAGAACCTTGCCAAGTACTACACCTTGTTTGGTCGTAGTTACTAAGGGATACAGTCAAACCCAATCTGCAATCCTTCTCACCTATAAAAAAATTGGTACTACATCTTCTTAGATATAGCCAGTTTTTTGTTTGTTTGTTTTTTTTAAATAAAAAATCTGAAAACAGGTCATATGAGATAAAGTGTTCTTATGCCTAATTTAACTGTGGGGGGAAAAGACTTTTATGTAAACAACTCCAATACTAAATATCATGAATTAACAAAGTTTTATGTATTCATTTACTTCTGAAATACCTGAATTACATATTACAAGGACATCTCTTTGAATAAAGTCGATCCTCAATATTTGTGAATTCTCTGTTCATTGGTCTAGTCACTAAAATTTATTTATCTCCAAATCAATACGTGTGCTTTCATAGGCATTCAAAGGAATGTGAAAAATTGTGAGTGAGTAAAGTCACCAAAGGTTCACATTCCTAGCTGAAATTGAGTAAAGTGACCTTCCTGTGTCAACAATCCTACTACAAACAAATGTCCCTTTCTTGGTCTTTGTAATGTCACATTTTTATATTTTTGTGCATTTTCTTGGTAATTTCATTGTTTAAAATAGCCCCTAAGCCTAGTGGTGAAATGTAGCCTCATGTTCCTCTGCACAAGCAGGCTGTGAGGTGTCTTATGGAGAAAATATGTGTGTGCTAAGCTTCATCCAAGCAAGAGTTACAGTTCTATTGGCCATGAGTTCACTGCCAATGAAACAACAATACATATTGAAAATTAAATACAAATAAAACTGTTATATATTTTGGTTGATCAAAATGTGACTAGAGGCTTGCAGGAGCCTAACCCTCCATTTCTTTTGGAGGCAGTATTTAATAGTCACTACTTCGGTGTTCACAGTGACTTCACAGATCCTACATCATTTCTTCGAGTAATAAGAATCAGCTGTAATTAAGCCCTCGGTGACTGTTCTTGATCTAAGCACTCCACGTCCCACACGCTGAACGTCTCTCAGCCTTTTCCTGTATTTCTGAAAGTGAGTATGTCCCCCTTCCTTATTTTCACTTCCAGTTGGCACCCTTTCCTCAGCAGCCCCCTGGCTCCATCCACACCATTATTTTCACAGATCACTGGAGACACTCATGACCAAATACACTCTTCACTTCTTAGTTCTCAGATGCCCATGCTGTCCTGGATACACTATTACAATGAGCCCTGTTCCTGCCCTGCTATCTCTGACTTTCTTAGCTATGTGTCTCTCACTAATTCTCTCCCTCTGTTGCTTAGACACTGGTGAGCCACACTTCAGTACTTGGCCCTCTCTTCATGTTGCCTAATCAGCCCCATTCAGTCCACTGCTTTAGAGAATGCTAACTGGATGATGAGCCCCACGTGCTTATCTCTAGGTTTGAGCTCTTGACCTTTTATTCCAACTGCATAATGAAATCCTTTGTTCCATGAACATTTCAAGGCAACAGCATGTCCCCAAAGCCTTTCTTTCTCCCCCAGACCTGTTCCTCCTCGGGGTATATCCTGCCTGGAAGATTAGAACTGTCTGAGCTTTACCCCATCACCTAAGTCGGACACCTGAGTTATCTGGAGCCCCTCAAATATGTCCCCACCCACATTTTTTATGCCAACTAAGTATATGGCTGTTCTCATCTCTTCTGAGTGTCCTCGTTTATTATTGTTAGTTATGGTTAAGTGGGACCTTATGTATAAGAAAGCAAAATGTTGCCCAGTCATGCCCAGTCTTGGTCATTGGCATACTTGAGTCCATTGTTGTAGACTTCTAACAGGGAACTCCTTTCCCAGTACAATATCACAATGGGGTTTCAATGGCTACTTTTTGGGAGTAGGCCACTAGGTCTTTCTTGTTGGTCTTCGTCTGGAAGCTCTGCTGAAACATCCACCATGGGTGGCGCTTCTAGTATCTGAAATACCAGTGACATCTTCCAGCATCACAGCAACATGCACACACACAGTGATGGATGTGTGGTGGTCCCCTTTTATACTTAATGTAGGTTTTCCTCAAACCTTGTTACTTCTTATGTTGCCTGCTATCATGGCCCTTACTCTCATCTTCAGGCTGGTCTCCATGTTATCACGTGTTTGTTTAGGTTTTTTTTCTTCCTGATGTGTACTACCTGCATGTGTTTTTCTGCCCTTGAAAATTCTACCAGGACTCAACACTTAAATTTAAGCATTTTAATGTTACTCATGTTACTGGTCCAGTTTCCTCTACCAACCTGGCACTGTCCTTTGCAATCTAACCATTTGGAGTTTCTTGGAAACAGCGTGCTGTTTCCTGTCATTTAAAAAATTCATAATGCCTCTCACCTTTCATTCCAACCTATCAGGTAAAGCTCTTTATTTCAGACATGGTCCCGATACTCTTTCCCTTGGCAGCGATGAATACTCCCACAAAGGGAAGTCACTTCAAAACCTGGAACTTGATCTGTAAAAAAGGAAGGAGGAAAGATATTCCAGGTACATGGAAGGGCAAGTGTAAAGACATATGCTATTTGTGAAAGCAAAATGTATCCTAAATTTGTAGGAAGCTCAGTTGAGAAATTAGAGATAATATGGCTTGAAGACTAATCTTAATATTTAGTTTTTTTGTGAATTAGGTAAAGGTTTACAGAACAAATTTGTCTTCCATTCAACAATTCAGTAATTTTGTTTCATCTACTTCATTGCATTCCCCACAATGTAATATTACTTTCCCTATTTCCTTAGTTTCCTCTTTCCATTCCTCCTCTTCTAATCCTTCTGAACTTTATCCTTGGGTAAATGCCCTTATGTCCTCCATTGGTCAAACTGGAAAAACATGACCACATAGCCACATGCTCTCTAACCACCCTGTTCAAGCACAAGCAAGGATCACAAAACAGAGCAAAACGAAAAGCCCGCCTTCTGAAACTCCAGGTAGGAGAGACACCTGAGCCAGACTCGAAATTCAGGAGGGGTAGTGGATGGGGAGCTTGCACAGGGATACCCAGAAAAGTAACAGCAGGTGGTTGGCAGACCTGATAGCAACCCCTCCTGCAGCACTCTGGGAATGGAAGAGACGGGGATGGGTTAATCCCTCACCCCCCACGCCCACCAGACCTGAGACTTAATCTAATCCCGTAGTAGATAGTGGCACAGGAGAGGGTGACAATAACTGAATTCACACAGCAGAAATTAATAAAAGTAGCTAAAACTCATTAACTCCCCATAGATGTAGAGTTGAAGATGGGCACTCCCACACAGAAACAGGTCTGTGGTGGGAGAGGAGGCTTGAGATAGTTTATTGTGCCAGCCTGGCTGATAAACACAAGTGGGATAACTGAAGGGCAGAGAGATAAATGGCTTTGTGAGCCTTGCCTTTCTTGTCTCTCGCTCTGTGATCATCGGACCAGTGTGCGGCTGCCTTGCTTGTTCTGTGCCTCAATTTAAAGGCTACACTGCCTGTGGGACGCCTACCCTGTGGACTGTGTTGCTGTAAGTTGAGGTCCCTTTAAGACTTCTCTGGAGCTGAGGACTGGCGGTTGGTGACCTGCCTTGTGATTGGCTGCTGTGCTGACATAGCCTACCTCTCTACAAATAGAAGAAGATCTGGCATCAGAGAGAGACTTGAAGGACTGCTAGTCTCAACTTTCTCTCACAGACGTGAGTTGCATTAAGCTATTTGTAGTGCTTTCTAATTTAACTGTTTATTTCTTTTATATTTTTCTGTATATTATTTAACAGTTCATTTCTCGTTATATATCTAATTATCTTTATAAATAAATATATTAAATTATCAGGAATTTGGTTTTATCTCTCTAGAGAACCCTGTCTAACACAAGGCTAAACTGGTTGGACAGATTTTCACAGCTTTCAGGCCTTTTGGTTTTGGAAGGCAGCTGTTTCAGTCACTGACCTACACCCCCTGGTAACCACAAACAATCTGAGGCTGGTTCCTTCACAGAACTAGCAACCCTTCTTGGAATTGGCTACTGCCACAGGATTTATCCATCTTGAACCTTCAACACCCAAAACTAATGCACAGGGAATATTATCATCGCAATACTGACTGAACCACATAGACAAACACAACACCGTGTCAGAAACAACAGGCAATCTCAGAGCACATGAGAAAACAAACTGAACAGACGTGCTTAAAACAGACATGGGAATTTCCAGTCAAAGAACAGGCACTTGAATTACCAAATGAGGGATTTAGGAAGAATGATGTTCAGCTTCTTTTAACAGGTGGAGGGAAAAAATTGAGAGCTACAGAAAGAAGAAAATAGAATGACTCAGGAGAAGACTACACAAGAACAATCTCACAAAACAAATGAAAAATTAGGAATAATTCAACAACTCCAAATGGAAATCCTAAATGAAATGTTAAAAAATTAGCACTATGAAAGAGCAAAACAGTAGAATTGAAGCAATGGAAGTCTGAATTCAGTAAGCTGACTAGATATCTGGAGATCAAACTAAAAACAATCTATAAAAAACAACTGAAGAAAACAGAATTTTGTGGGAAACTATCAAAAAGAACAACTTACATATGATGAACGTTCCAGAATAGAAAGAAGGGGGGGTGGGGGCAGAAAAATAGTTGAAGAAATACTGTAAGAAAATTTCTCATAATAAAAAAAAAAGTACCTCCTGACACAATCATTGAAGACAAAATGGGCACATAAGCAAATGTGAAGAAAGCTGATGGTGCATGACTGTTAAAAGATAGAGTGTCTGGGGTCTTAAAGGCTAGTCATTAAACAAGCAGCTATCTAGCAGGGAACCAACAATGCACACATGGAAGAAGCTTACCAGCCTGTGTGATCATGAGGTGTTGACAGGAAGAGGCATCAGAAGTTCAAAAGCAAGCAACCAAGTTGATGTGAAGGTGCGTAGATATAGTGGAGACCCAAAACCCACCTGTAAGATGAGACAGTCCCTCTCAGAAGGGCCACACAGAAGGGATGAAAAATCCAGGGTACAGTATAGCACTGATGAACCACATAACTATCCTTGTTTTTTAATAGTTCCTACCTTTACTATTATGGTTTTTATTTGTTTTACCTCATTAATCATGTCAGATTTGCATAGGTTCATTTGTATATCTAAGATCGCTAAGTACATGAAAGCCAAGATAGAGAACCCTTCAGAAATAGTAACAAGAGTAATGGTTCCCTGGGGGTAGGGGAAGAAAGGGAGGGGCATAGGGTAATAGGGAGCTGGTACCATTGATGACTGTATAACCCCACTTGATGTATAAAACAACAGGATTATATTGGAATGGATATATTGGATTGTGTAGGATGTGGCACACACAAAAAGATTATAGGGGAAAATAGTAACAGGGGTACCTG